TGCCCCCCGGAGCCGATCCCGGGCCGCAGACGGGGCAGCGGATCCCGGGCGGACGCGAACGAGCACATATAGACGATCGGTGGGCTATGGAGCCGCTAATCGCCTATATGTGAAACACCCAGTAACGGGTGTGTGCAATAGTCAGGACACGTTACATATCGCCATGAACGTCTGAGTGAGAGTAATAATTATACGGCCATTAATTATTGATAACACTAAAGTGATAGGCGACGCTTAAAAACCCTTTTACTGGTCACGGCCAATTTTGGGTGTGGTCGTTTTCTGCGATTTTTGCGGCCGTGCGCAATTTTACAGCTTAACTTTTTGTGTCTATTTACCCGACATGACCCAGTCTTTTATATTTTACCAAAAAATTCGGGTGATAATAAATGTTTCATAACATTTCATAGGGAAACAGATTTGTTTTCAATATTCAGGGAATTTTTTTGGTTATATAGTAAAAAATAAAAACCCCAGTGGTGATTAAATACCATCAAAAGAAAGCTCTATCTGTCCCCAAAAAATGATAGAAAATTTATTTCAGTACAGCATTGCATGATGGAAGAAAAATCAGTCAAAGCACCGCAGCGCTAAATACTGAAAAACTGCATGGCCAGGAAGAGGGTTTAACACCCTGGTCTTCAAGTGTTTAATAAGAGCAGTCCAAAATTGTCATATACCTACCATCCCTTATGACCAAAACATACATTGAATGGAGGCATCGATGATCATGGAAAGGGTCATACACACTATGCAAGATTATAAGCCCCAATTCTATACTAAATGGAATACTTCGATTCCTTTAAACCATTAAACCATAAAGTCAAAAACAGGACTTATAATCCTCCATGCACGTTACAGTGATCCATCCCATTACTTCTCCCTGGCACTCATGAACTTATCTTGTGCGACAAATACAACATTACAGTGACTGGATACTGTTACTAATATAAACAAATTGTAATGTGTCTTCCTTTAAGACTAACTCTTGCTTTACCTAAGAGTTTATCTGCTAGATCGTTATTTTAAATCTTTATGATTTACATTTTCACAAACTTTAATAAATGTAAATTAAGCATGTTAGTTAACTCCAGAGACACAATGTGTGTGCTGAATGATCTCAATGCTTAGCCTACAATAGAGCAGCCAACACTTACAGTCTCTATAGTCTCAGGGCTTCCACTTCTCCATGAAAAAGCATGTGAAATACAAGCCGCTATGTTTCCAGATTCAAGCACTGTCCTCTCTGACTCGCCCCAATGTCTTCCATACAAAGCTTTAGAGCTCCAAATCCTCACAATTGCTGTTTAAAAACTTCAGAAAATGCCAGTTTCAAAAATCATGTGGTTATCTTACAGAAGGAATATTACCTGATAATTCATTGGTCAAATACATAAAAATAATCATACTCGCCTGAACTGTAAACTTTTTTATGCATTCTGGAGACTTCATGTCCTTTTCTGTAATATCCTCAGGTTGGATTAAATAACAGATCAGCAGTTCCTGTTAAATAAATGTAGCTGAATATATCATTTATCACAATCATTCCATCCAAAACGAATATTTCAGTTGATTTAGGTGGCAGCAGAATGAATGACTCATTGTTAGTATTCCTATAAGTCCTATAGAACAGCGTTTTTCAACCACTGTGCCGCGGCACACTAGTGTGCCGTGAGATATTTTCTGGTGTGCCGTCAATAAATCGTTAATTTCTTTGATCGATCAAAATTTTTTTGATCGATCAAAGTTACTCACCTCTCCGCCGGCTTCCGGGTCTTCCGTCGGAGATCCGGTGACGTCACGGACATCGACGTCACCGGACTCCTCCCCCCTTCCCCGAGTGGCTCTGTCGGCTAACGAAGGGAAGGGGGGAGGAGTCGGGTGATGTAGTTGCCCGTGATGGGTAACGAAGGGAAGGAGGGAGGAGTCCGGTGACGTCACGGACATAGACTCCTCCCCCTTCCCTTCGTTACCTGACGGAATCACTTGGGCTGAGTCTCCTCCTCACTCTTGGGCCGGTGAGTCATCGCATGTGTGTACAAGGCAAAATCTGCTACCCTGGTGAGACCCCACAAAGCCATGGGGCTTTTGGGGTTGTGTGGTAACGCTGGGTGTGCCATGAAGGAGTTATTAAAGTGATCATTAAAGTGTGACTCATTCTAACCGCAGAGGGCAGAACCAAATGTAAAGCCCCCCCCCTAACCCGGCTTCCTAGGAAAGAGAAGGGGGTGAAGGTGTTTCCCCCCGGAGTGTGGTGAGACCCCCTATGAGCCCTGGTGAGACCCCACAAAGCCATGGTGAGACCCCATGGAGCCCTGGTGAGACCAGGGCTCTGTGGGATCTTGCCAGGGCTCTGTGGGATCTTGCCAGGGCCCTGAGGGGTCTCACCAGTCTGGTGAAATCGCACATAGCCATGGTGGGACCCCATAGAGCCCCGTGTGAGACCCTACGGAGCCCTGGTGCTGGTGAGACCCTACAAAGCCCGGGTTTAACCAGGGCAGTGTGGGATCTCACCAGGGCTCTGAGGGGTCTAACCAGGCTGGTGAGACCCCCACATAGCTCTGGTGAGACCCTACAGAGCCCTGGTTAAAGCAGGGCTTGGTAGGGTCTCACCAGGGCTCTGTGGGGTTTAAGCAGGCTGGTGAGACCCCACAGTGCCCAAGTGAGACCCCCACTCATAACCAGGGCTCTGTGGGGTCTCACCAGAGCTCTGAGGGGTCTCACCAGGCTGGTGAAATTGCACATAGCCATGGTGGGACCCCATAGAGCCCTGGTGAGACCCTCACCCTCGCCTTTGCACAAAAAAGGTTGAAAAACACTGCTATAGAATATAGCCAACAGTGGCTAAGGCACCTTGCTTGTAAATTCTAAACATGTAAAAAAAAATCTGTACAAGGATATATAGAACCAGGATCTGTACAAGGTTATATAGAACCAGGATCTGTACAAGGTTATATAGAACCAGGATCTGTACAAGGTTATATAGAACCAGGAATTGTACAAGGTTATATAGAACCAGGATCTGTACAAGGTTATATAGAACCAGGATCTGTACAAGGTTATAGAGAACCAGGATCTGGACAAGGTTATATAGAACCAGGATCTGTACACGGATCTATACAAGCTTTGTATCTGCCTGTGTGTGTCCAGCTAGCTAAATCTGGGTGAGTCTCCCATCAGTATTGCAAGGTGTGATAACGGTTTCTGAGCCCCAATTTACCTCCCAGTATGCTCTCACTGTTCTGGAAAATTTGTTTTGTGCAACTGTAGTGAACTGCTATCTCTCATGCTCCTTTGGCTAGTGATACATGGCTGTTCTGTTTGCCCCTTTTTTTATTATTATGCACAGTGTCAGATGCACTTTGAAAAAGCTTTTTTATAGCTGTGCTCTCTTATGGAATTCTTTTTACCTTGGACACATTCATTGTTGTCCTGTTAAGGCCAGATAAAGACCTCCAGGTCAAAGGTCGCAGAGGAGAACCTTCATAATTGGCATTAGCAAGTTCCACAATTACAGAATAGCTGAAAGAAAAAAAAAAGATCCATTAGCATATCTAACTTTATACTAGGGCTGCAACAACTAATCGACATAATCGATTATTGAAAAAGTTGTCAACTTTTTCAATCATCGATTAATCGGCTTCTGATTGGTTGGCCCTGTTTACAGCTCCACACACGCCGTGTGCCGCACCTCCTCCTCACCTCACGTTCGCCGCTGCCAGACCCGCCCGCATCCACGCTCCACACGCCGCATCTCCTCCCCGCCTCACGTTCACCGCCCGCCCACATCCACAATCGGCACAGGGACGTGGGGAGAAGCAGTAAGTAGGAGCAGGTGTGGGGGGATGACAGCCGCCTATAGATGGGTAAGCCTGCACTTTCCCACACATGGTGCTCTATAATGTATTGCTGGGATTTGTATTCCTCTATAGCTGGTGGTACATTGTGCTGTGTATTATACATAGGAATACAAATCCCAGCAATACTTTATGCACTGTATGTATAGTGTACTATTGCTGGGATTTGTTGTACTCCTCTATAGCTGGTGGTATTCTGCATTGCGCTGTATAATGTACTATTGCTGGGATTTGTTGTACTCCTCTATAGCCGGTGCCATTCTGCATTCATTGCTGTATAATTTTTCACTTTCCATGTCACTATATTGCACACCACACTTTTTCTTTTTTACTTCCACCGCTCCCGGCTCGCTCCTGGACTACAACCTCAATACAAACCAGTAGTCCATCACTGGAGCCATTTTTTAAAATTTATTTAATTTTTTTATCCGATTAACCGATTAATCGAACTTAATAATCGGCTAACTAATCGATTTTGAAAATAATCGTTAGCTGCAGCTCTACTTTATACAACTTAAAAAGACCTTCAAAGGAAAGAGTCAAATGCCTTTCAAGTGTAATTGTATTGTAATTGTATTGTCAATTCTGAACTCATTGCCCATTTCCTGCCAGAGCCATTTATTTAGTTTTTTTGCGATTTCGCGGGTGCGCGCAATTTTTAAGCTTGACATGTTTGGTGTCTATTTACCCGACGTGACCCCGTATTTTATATTTACCTAAAAAATTGGGCAATAATAAATGTTTCATAACATAATGTAAAAAAACAACTTTATTTTTTCAACATTTTCAGTAATTTTCCCGAAATATAGTAAAAAATAAAAACCCCAGTGGTGATTAAATACCACCAAAAAAAACTTCTATCTGTCCCCACAAAATGGTATAAAATTAATTTCAGTACAGCGTTGCATGATGGAATAAATGTCAGTCAAAGTACCGCAGTGCTGAATACTGAAAAACGGCCTGGCCAGGAAGGGGGTCTAAACACCTGGTCTTCAAGTGGTTAAACATTTTTTTGGTGTTTTTATTTATTTATTTCATTAAACTTTCAAAAAGTAAATTTCTTTTTTTTACTTAATCTTCTTACCATCACAAGTGGTTTGATAAGCCCCCTATGCGATAGCATTGTGCAGATGACAGGATCTATCAGACCCCTAATGTCACCCGTACACAGTTGAAGCCAATCAAGCACAGACCATGCTCGATTAGCTTCTTCCCCTGTCAATTGGGCTGGAGATTGGCAGTGCTTAACCCAGAAGTGCTCAAAACCGAGGACTTCCATGCTCGTTTCTCACAGGGGAGTTCCCCCCTGGACACATGGCGGGGAGATGGCTGTAGGGGATGGAGTTAAGGCACATTGCTGAATATGCGGAGGTGATCGGGAGGCTTTACAGTCACCCAAAACTCTTCACCATGACAGTCAACATTTCAGTATATGAACAGGTAAACAACCGCCCAGCTGCTATAATTTTCCTTTCACATCTCTAAGCTTTGTAGAATTTTGATGTTCTTTTTTAAGTTAAAGTATAGGAGCCGCAGTTTCTGGTGATTGTTTAGATCTAGTGCCACAAGCCTAAATGTCTAAGGTTTGCCTGCACATTAAAAGCCCATCTCAAGACGGGAGACAAAGAGAGACCCCCCTTCCCCATTGAAGTCTATTTGGTTGTAATGGGCAGGTGCTGCCAGGATAAAAAACAAACACCTGAGGCCACGGCTGACGAATTGAGGGAAAGTATGCTCCTGGGAAAGGTGGGTATGATTAGGTCAGAGGAAAGGAGCAGAAAGGTTAAATGCACTTTGTCTTAAAATGCACTTATTCTTTTAAGATTTGTAGAAATAACAATATAGAAGAACATAAGTGTTCAAAAGATAAATAGGTGGTAACATACTATGTTAGGAAAGTAAACTCTAAAACATAGCAGGTTCTATGCCAAGACAATAGCTACACCTATTTTTCAGTTACCAACCTTGCGTGGTAGAACGGTGGACCTTTACGATATAACACTAGAAAAAAAAAGAAAAATAGTTTTTTCTCGGCAACACATGTATAACAATCATCAGTTGCTGCCAAAACTGAAATAACGGTTTCAGGTAGACTTAGCATTTAATCTCAAGGATTACTTACACAGGTCAGTCCCATATTTCAGTCCCACTTTGGGCACCCAGCCTTTGCTTCGGAAGTGGTGGTATGCCATGTAACTTGTCGGGAAGTTCTGTTGTGCTGCACAGAAAACTTTCCAGAGTTTCTGGATCGTTAGAGGTTCCTAAGAGGGATTGATGGTCTGCAATAATTAATCAAGTCATGCACTTTAGAGACCTTCTAACTACTTTATCAGATCAGCAATCAAAATAAGTGGCATGCACACATTGTACCTTAAAGGAGAACTATGAGGTGAGTGACATTCACTCATCCTCATTAGAGCTGCAACAGTTAATCGATTTAGTCGATTAAAATCGACGATTGAAAACGTTACCAACGTTTTCGATCGTCGATTCGTCGGCTATCGATTGATTTCCCTGTTCGGGGCTCTACACGCGGCCTGAAGCACACGCTGCTCACGTCCCGCTGCGCCCGCTGTGCCCACAGGACGCATAAGCCAATGGTGGAATAGGTGTACGGAGCTGCAGTGTGGACCAGGTGTGTGGGGGTGCAGTGTGGACCAGGTGTGTGGGGGTGCAGTGGTGGAACAGGTGTGCAGTGTGGAACAGGTGTACAAGGGTGCTGTGGTGAAATAGGTGTTTGGGGGTGCTGTGGTGGAACAGGTGTACAAGGGTGCTGTGTGAAACAGGTGTTTGGGGGTGCAGTAGTGGAATAGGTGTGGGGGTGCTGTGTGGAACAGGTGTATGGGTGTGAAGCGGTGGAACAGGTGTATGAAGGTGCAGCGAGGAACAGGTGTATTGGCGTGCAATGGTGGAATAGTTGTGTGGGGGTGCCGTTGTGGAACAGGAGTACAGGGGTGCTGTGGTGGAATAGGTACGAGTTACGCTACGCACGCCGCGGACGCCACGACCATGCCGCGTATATGCCACGCTCACCACACAAGCCGGACACACGCTCGCAGAGCACGCCGACGCCGCGGTGACTTACAAGGGTTCAGAAACAGGTAAGGGGGACCTGTTTTAATGTTTCCTGTTTAAAAAAAAAAAGCGGCACACTGTAGAACACCAGCAGCTATAGAGGAACAACAAATCCCAGCAATAATATATTAAACACCCTGTATAATGTACTATTGCTGGGACTTGTTGTTCCTCCTATAGCTGGTGGTATTCTCCATTGTGCTGTATAATGTATTATTGCTGGGATTTGTAGTTCCTCTATAACTGGTCAGTGGTAATCTGCATTGCGCAGTATAATCATTATACAGCGCAATGGAGAATACCACCAGCTATAGAGGACTACAAATCCCAGCAATAATACATTATATACAGCGCAATGCAGAGTAACGCCAGCTACAGAGGACTACAAATCCCAGCAATAGTACATATGTAGTATAATGTAGTATTGCTACATTCCTCTATAGCTGCTGGTATTCTGCACTGCGCCGCTGTATTATGTACTATATTGCACACCACACTCTTTTTTTTACTTCTACCGCGCCAAGCTTGCTCCCGTGATGGACTACAATCTCACCACAAACTAGTAGTCCATCACTGGAGCCTTTTTTTTTTTATCCGATTAATCGAACTTAATAATCGGCCAACTAATCGATTATGAAAATAATCGTTAGCTGCAGCCCTAATCCTCATAGTTCTAGCCGACCTGTGACAATGAAACTGTCACAGGTCGGCTCAGTAGATCGGGAAGAGAGCCACGGCAGAGAGCCGTGACAGGGGAGGGACTGGATTCCCCCCTCCCCACCGCGATCCTCCAGCGCTGACTGGCGGAATTGATGGGGGAGGGGGCGGGTACAGAAAAATGTAACTTTCAAATTATTTTAAATTGCTCCACAATGCACATTGACATAAATACAAGAGTATGGGCGTACAGCATAAAATATGCCTCTGTTTGCGGTGCCAGAGAGCCCCAGCTGCTGGATTTTTTTGCCCACAAGACTGTACTGAAAGAATACGTTGTACATGGGCATACGCATGTAAATGCTGCTATTTGCATTCACACCCATGATCTGGACAGAGGTTCACTTCAAGTACTATATTACCTTGGACACTGGAACTGAATTTTTAAAGACCACCCCTCTGGTCCTGTCGCTAAGTAACAGCTCTTGAAGCTGTCAGTCCTGCCATGAGTTTCCCCCGGGGAGATTGGAAGGCAGCTCTGTTTTGGCTGCCTGCACTGAATAATAAATAGCCTGACAAAAAGCCAGCCTCCCTGTCTAGAACTGCGCATTGAGAAAAATGAGCCACAGCTTATGCAAATGCAGGGCGGGCTGCAGTGTTCCCAACTAGGATTCCCTGCATACAGAACGGTATTTACAGTTTAACTACCTTTCACCCTTTATCACAATCTTAAAGTGGACCTTTACCCCCTTTTACTAAAAATCACAGCAGCATGCAGCTCTGCATGAGGACTTAAAATCATCTTACATTAGTAAAAACAAACTTTTTTCATTGACTTACAAAATGTATCTACTTCCTGATCCAGTTCTGGCACAAATGATGTAAGTGCCAAAGTATTGCATCTTAGGAAGGTTACATCAGCAGAGCTTGCTGGGAAATCTCATGAGATCTCAGGGAAAGGCATGTTCCTCCACTGAGATAATGTGCATTGTCACATGTCCTAGTCACATGTGCCAGAAATCAGGAAGTAATGAGAGCTTGTAATCTACCCTTAGTAAACATGGCCACTGTCAGGAGACTGGGTAAGAAAAGAGAAATAAGGAATGCAAAGAATACAAAGCCTGCAATTATCTAGAAGTATGTGTTTGTAAATTGTCATTACTAAACATTTCTAAAGGTGTGTTTTGTTGTAATTTAAGGATATGGGTAAAAGTCCACTTTAAATAAGAATAAGATAACAGAAATGGTTACCTTTTTGTATGACACTGATAGACATCCCAAGCCATACACTAAGAAGAAAGCCTGAGGAAAGAAGAAATACATAATATCTAGGGTTATGTTGGATTTAAACCATTTGACACTTTTTTATTTCTGTTATGTTATTGTTTTTGCTGTTAAAGAGACACTGTGACTTTACCCTTTTGGGGGTGAAGTGTGGCTTTACACAGCCACTCTCCCTTTGCCCTGAATGGGCAAAGTGATAATGTCTCTTCAAGGGCCTGTATTGACAGGCGTTTTGTTCATTTCAAGCAAGTTTTGCATTCCCATACAAGTCTATAGAGATGTAAAACCCGCTTGAAGCAGGTCAACGGCACCTGTGAATGCATTCTGAATGATCTCAGAAGTGTCACAAACTGATGCCATCAACACAAGCTCAAAGCCTGTTGACACAGGCCCCAAGCCATACTCTGACCAGAAACCCAACATGTAGAACACACGTTTCACCAACAACATACCTTTGGGCCTATGTTGATGGGCTTTTGCATTAATATATATGTCTATGGGAATTTAAAACCCGCTTGAAGTTGATCAAATGCAGTTCAGAAGATCAAATGTAAAGTCAATGGACACAGGCCTATAGGCTCCTTTGGAGAAGTGGGGAATCCCAACCAAGGAACAGTACAAGTACACAGGGAGGTCTGAAGAGGCGATCCCCATTAGCTCCCGGTGACATTATTGGTTCTAACATAATACTGAATAAGATAAATTATAACCTTATAACATTAGTTATATTTTAATTACTCCTGCCTGTAGGAAGATTTCCCTGCACTTCATGATACAACAGGAAGTGGAAATCGCTCCAAAGTTAGGGGAAATGCCACCTACGACACCTGTTAGCGGTACAAGTCTGCCCTTTAGAACACAACATGGTGGAATTCCTAATACTTATCCTGTGACACAGAGAGCTTTGGTCACTTTCCTGAGGAAAAAAAAGCTGACTGAGGCTCTAACTCTTCCTTGTTCTATCCAAAACTAGAAGAAAAGTGATAAAGGAGCAATCCTAGGGGGATTGTTATTATATTAAGCGATACTATTCTCAGTAGGGATGCACCGATATATCGGCCGCCGAAACATATCGGACGAAAATGGCACTTTTGGCATACTGCCGAAAGTGCCATTTTCCTGCCGATACATCGGCGCATCCGTGATTTCTTTTCTCCCCGTTGGGCGCTGCTCTATGTCGCAGCGGGGAGAAGATAAAGTGACAGGCAGCCGAGCGCTGCTGTGGAGAGCGCTGTGAGCGGCCAGCGTCTCCTCCCACACCGCTCTGCCGCCTATCACAGTCCGGCCGAGTGGTGTGGGGGCGGAGACAGCGCTGTCACAGGAGGCTGGGCTCTTCTCCCTACACCGCTCGATCAGCCTCCTGTGACAGCGTGTCAGAGAGAAGAGCAAGGTACACACACTCAGTGATCAGTGATCGCTGAGTGTGTGTACATAATTGAGAATATGGCATGTTAACTATATCCTCAATTATGAATGAATGGGAGTGATCTACATCACCCCCATTCATTCATAATTGTAGTTATAGTAAACAAACAATGTACTCATATTATCAATGAACAGGGAGACTCATAGAGGATTCCTGTTCATTGATAACAGGGGATGCAGAAAAAGAGATTGAGGACTCTGTGTTCTCAATCTCTTTTTCTATTTTAAAAGGGAAATATCAGGGGTCTGTTTAGCCCCCTTATATTTCCCAGAAGCCCCTAAAAGTAAAAAATAAAAATATTTAATAAAAAATGAATTCATAAAAATAAATATAAAAAAATAAAAAGTTTATAAAAAATAAAT